GTGGTAATTGAGCCTCCGGTAACCTTACTCACACGACGAAACACATGCAAGCGTTTACGTCGGTAGTCTGCTCGGCCGTGGTATCACTCCGGTCGAGCCGACTTATTCGTGCCGAAGCATGCCTCGACCACACTTCAATATTTTTTATTGCTACTAAGTAACATAAGGTGTCGTGGTGGCCCGGAGGTTGAAGACGCCTGCTTCTCATGCACGAGGGTGCAGGTTCGAATCCTACCAACGGCAAGTACCAATGTGACTTTTTCCGAGTTATATGTAGGTATTTTCTAAGATTATCTAGACACCACTGACCAACGTTGAAGGAAGACATCGTGAGGAAACCTGGGCTTATAATTTCTTATTATGAGTTTGAAATCGCCAACCCGCATTGCAACCGAAAGCGTGGTGATTAATACCCTAACCTTCTCCATGTGAGAAGAGGCTTTGCTCAGCAGTGGGCATTTATAGGCTGTTGATAACAAGTAACATGTGTTGAGATGACAAATCAATGTTAGAATAAGTTTGTATGGGTACTAGTATTGCTGCGCTCAAGGTCATAATAATATGAAACCTGTTTTTTTGTTTATAAGTTAGCAAGATTGAATATATCAAGTGATTACGTGAGCAAATACAAATACTGTTGTCATATAATTTACATAAATTTGTCATCAGTTTGTGGTTCGACAAACATTTGGTACCGCTGCTGTGGTGCCTGTCTGTACTTACAATGTTCACATGTAAACAGCAGCTCATGTAAAGAGATTGTCCAGTCAACTGATGGTAGCGGTGACTGTCCAGGCGACACACGTACTTAGGTATCGTTATGAGCTAATGTTCACATGTAAACAGCAGCTCATGTAAAGAGATTGACCAGTCAACTGATGGTAGCGGTGACTGTCCAAGCGACACGAGTACTTAGGTATCGTTATGAGCTAATGTTCACATGTAAACAGCAGCTCATGTAAAGAGATTGTCCAGTCAACTGATGGTAGCGGTGACTGTCCAGGCGACACACGTACTTAGGCATCGTCATGAGCATTAATTCACTTCCTTTTGATATTTTTTTGTGGATTGTCAATGATGAAAATTCTTGAAAATATGACGGTTTTAATAGGAAAAGATTTAAATTATCTTATCTATTTAAATACTAAGTATTAGTTCGACGTGTTGATAGTAAACAGGCACCTGAAATGATAAATTCATTTAAGTAATTAGGTATTCAATTTGCTTTTAAAAACATCGCCTGATTTGTCTAGTGGTAGATAGAAAAATTGTCGACCTTTGGACTCATATGTACCTAATCTAATATATAATCTTAGAATCTTTGTTGTAGGTACAATGTTCATCATCTATTAAAAACTTTCTTCTGTGAAAGAGTTGAAGTTTGCGTTATCAAGCTTCATTCTTCTTAGTTCTTGTTGAGTCAGGGCTTTCCTTTTTAT